TCTGACGATGAAAGCGAGGTTTTCGAAATGTCAGTTCAAATATAATTTGGTCCATGAACCTGCCCCCTCTTCATATTCTTATATATACGTCAGTTGGCCTACTTCGCCCAGTATAAACCGATTTTATCTCTCCTTGTTTATTTGAACTACAATGAGACCATCAGTATAAGACGCTACCGCCGTTTTGAAAGCAGTCCGAGTTGACCTATATTTGAAGAATTTTCCAAGGACATTTATCCAAGATGTCGACAACTGCAGTCATTGACAATTATGGATTGCTTTTGATTTCCCAGTGTTGTGAGTTTGCGCGTCTAATTTTATTCCTTGTGAATGGAGGACGTTTTTGCCGAACGTTTTGGAATGAAATTTTCAAAATAAAGCATACCTCTCTCTATGTCACATAAATGACCCACCCCACGAATCGTTGTCTGAAATTCTAAAATATGCTACCGGTTGGAAAGTTTGATTGCAAAATGTCAGGATGCTAGTGTTTGAATGCGCATCTTTTTAGCCACTTGCGAAAATCAAATTCACTGAAAATACATTAAGCATTTTCCAATTGTTTTCGGTGACTTCATGAATCCAAACATAGTTGATGGGAAGTATTCACAAAACAAGGTTCCTCACACTTTCTGTGACAAATTACATGACGTTAACATTTGTCCCAGTTTTTTTAAGGTCTCTCGATTCCCGAATATCTTTTAATTTGACCTACGCTACGAAAAACGTAGAAGAATGTATGACTTTTCTGAAGCATACCGTTGACGGCGTGCAATTTGGAAACCATGGACGCAAGTGCAGCGTAGTTAGTATTCATGATTATGCGGCAAATGAAAAACCTTTATAAAACTGAAAGACACTCTTCCTTCCAGTAGAGACTTGGCAGAGGACGCGACCATACAGGCATACCAATGAGACCATTATATACTTCTGGAGCTCTACTAGCCTCCTTATTATCAATAGTTGAACAATAGTATTTCCCGAACTTACAAAGGATTAATTCGTCACAGCAGAAGCGCTCAAGGTTATTAATTTGATGTACCAAAAAAATGATGAGAATAAACTCACAGAAGCACTATAAATATATGAAACAATACACACTAGAAAATTACTTCTTTTCGTGTTAGTAGTTACTATGTTAGCCAGGAAAGGTCTCAAATAAAATCGGAAACTTTGCCTATCCAAGCTGCATAGAGGAGGAAAATTGGACGACGATTGCTTGGAAGCGGACCTTCAAATGAAGGTAACAAGATTCTTACAAAGCTGGGAGTTCATCCTAAGCAGAACAACACATTTAGTGGGGCTTTAACATCGCCTGAGCTGTGCACAACTACACTAAGTTCAACGTTGTCGCTTTATGCTAAGCGACACAGGCGGGGTCGGCCCAACAAAACCTGACCTGATAACTATCCATCTAGGTGCTGGGGCAGTTTCTGCACCCTCAGCTGTTATTCGTCTGTGCTGCTGCGGCTGCTGGAGGCTCAAGTGGGTCCAGCTGACCGGACCTGCGATAACAGATGACGATGTAGATGAACATTGCCGGCAAAGACAAGGGAAATCGGAATGGCCATTTCTAGCCGATGACTGTCAGCAGCCAGTCATACCCAACCCCAAGTGATGCGCCATCCAAGACTCGAACCCGCGACATGTTGTTTAGAATTCCAACGCTCTAAACCACTGAACCACGGATTCGTTGTCTTGCCAGTTTAGATCGGAAATATCAACGTGCGTTGATGAACGCTGACGAAAATCACTTTCGAGCCCCGTCAGCAGTCGCGCAGCGGCTAGTAAAATAGGCAGATGGTAAGCGCGTTGCAGTTCTGACCAAAGGATCGCGAGTTAGACCCTCGGGTGACGCGACACCTGGGGTTGATATGGCTGGCTGGATGGTTAATGATGGCTAATAAGCCAGAAATGGCCATCCCAGGCTTCCCTGTCTTTATCGGCAACGTTCATCTGCCACACTGCTTGCCGCCGTGCGGCTGCTGACAGGACTCGAGAGTGAACCCCAAGGTTGAACGGGAAGAAAAAGCTCCGTTAGCGATCGGTGAGCGTTCATCAACAGATGGCGATGTCTCGCTGTGAGATGTGTTCTGAAGCACAAAAGAGGTAGCAGCAATGCACTAAC